TACAAAACAAAAAATACAACTAAACCTGTTGTACAGTAGTCATACGCGGGTTACATTTAAAACATGTTATTCCTAACCAAACAGGACCGCGATTTTGAAAATTGGTAATTCAACGTGTCTTATAAAAGAGCAAAAATCCTTGACCCCGCTTTTGTTTTTAATTTTAATTTTCTTAACCATAATAGTCGACATTTGCCAGAGACTAAAGTGGAACCACACGGTGTTGGTGGGCGGCCACGGGTTCATCACATTGCACTGCAGTCCACCAGCCAGGCACAGTGAGCGAGGCCGCCTGTGCGGGTCTTTCATTCGTCCAAGAAAGACATGTATTTAAAACATGTAAGGGTACGGCTACGCCTGCGACCCTCCCGGAGTGAGGCGACTCGATGCGGTGGCGGAGGAGAGCGATCAGGGCTCAGTGTCAGTCCCGCCGATCGGCGTTCAGTTAGCGTCGAGTTGGTGGGCGGGCGGCGGCGAGCGCCGGGCGGGTAGGCCAACCCGCGCAGCAGCGCTGTCGAGCGGGACGGCCCGCCCGGCGCCTGCCGGTCGAGTGCCACCCGCGCCGCGCACACAGTACTTCTGCACACAGTACTACCGGTACTACTGCACGCGTTCCTGTTCTCCGAGTTGGCAACAGTCTTAACTGGAAGAAGACGTGCTTGGGGCGGGTTGGGGGCCGTGAGAAATTTACTTTCTGGCAGGAACTTCTCAAATCCACGTCAATATTTGAGCGCGACACTAAATCCGGTTGATCTGCCTGTAGTTAAGGTCCTGAGCCGTGAACACGAAGGCGATCATGTAGATGGCCACGCAACAGGATGGGCATGTTGGTGACCTGGAACGGACCCAGCGTGCCGATCTGCAGCAGCGCCCTGTCCACGGCCTCTGGGGCGGCCGCCATAGGCCGGGCCCGGGAGTGGGAGTGGATGACCGCGCTCACCAGCAGCGGCTCCGACCCACCGACCCGATAGGACAACCACCTAGCTGCGCGCCGGCCGCCAGCTGGCGACACAGGTAGGCAATATCCGAGCCAGCGTGATCCGAGCAATACACGGCTTGACCACACATTTCTGTCTTTCGAAATCCCAATTGCAAATCATGATTTTTACGTGACGTCTCGTTGTGATTGATAACCATTTCGTGCGCGTCCAGCTCGGTGCGGTAAATCGGGTGAGGGGCAGAATATCGTAGGAATTTCCACTAGCGTATCGGTAATGCTCCCGTCTTGTGAAATCAATAGTCCAATTCAGCGATCCCGATGCCATTGGGTTACAGATCTCGCTCCGCAAACCGAGAATCGTACGTTTTCATGTACTTTTCTTTATAGTTTTTCGTCGCGATACGAAGGTTGGTAAGGAAAACTTTTTGACAATATTCCATTACAAACTTAGAGATTTAAAAAAAAAACCCAGACGAGGCAAGTCGTGCGCGAAAATTTAAAAATCATGTGGATTCCCGCGCTATGAGACGGCTGCTGATTGGTGCGGATCGCCTGCCCTCTAGCGGCGGACTCCTCATGCGGCTTGCTTGAGTTGAGTCAACACTCTTCAGTTCCAGTTCCAGTGGTCACCTCGGCGGATGCAGCACCTGCAGCCCAGCGGAGCCCGAGGGAACTCCAAGCTTCTGCCAAAGGGGGGGCCTTGCCTGCGGACGCGTCTCCTCTGACCTCGACAACCGTCTCCGCAGTCGCAGGCGCTGGGTGAGCCGGCTTGTGGACGCGAGCGAGCCGCACGAGGACGGAAAGGTTAGGACGCCCCGCCCGACCAACAAGTGAGTAGGCCTGTAGCTTTTGCAGCGCAGCGTATCAGTCCCTGATACTCGTGGGCAGCGGAGGGCTTTAAGAGTCTATCTGCTTGCAATGTTGGCCAGGGACCAAAGTGTCAGATAGCACGACATTGAAGGGGAATACGGGTGGAAGGAAGGAGTCGCCGTGACCTGGCCGTGACGTCAACGCCGCACAGCCGTGCTTGTCTCGCGCTACTCCGCGCTGCAGAGACACTCTCCCGCTGCGGCGCTACCCCGTCCGGCTGACTGCCTCACGTGCTGCCCGCCAGGCGGCTCTGCAGCTCCGCGATCAGCAGCATGGGCCTGGAGTGCGACATCTGCACCGAGCCCTTCGACGGCGACCAGCGGCTGCCCAAGGTCCTGCCGTGCGGGCACACGGCCTGCCTGCAGTGCCTGCGCCGGCTGCCCGACAGCAGCTGCCCGACGTGCCGCCGGGTGAGTGGCCTGGGGTGAAGTCCTGGATCACTCGTTCGTTGTTACACTCGTTCTGGCCCGTTCTCCCCGCAGTACTTCAACCGCCCACCGGAGAGACTCGTCGCTAAGTTCTTGGCGATGAAGTTGTTGGAGGGAGTCAGGCTGGACAGGTGAGTCACTCGCGCGCAGCCGGCCGCGGAGGCGGGTTGTTCGAGAACCTCATGGCCTGCCTTGTGCCGCACAGCACTCCCCGCGTCTGGTGCTCGGACTGCCGCACCTCTCCCTCGCCCCGCTGCTGGGATGAGGACCACGACGTCTTGCCCGTCAAGAGAGCCCTGAGGCGCCAGCTCCAGGGCGCGCTGCCGCAGGCTGCCGAGCATCTCAATGGTCTCCAGGACCAGTGCCGGGAGGAGCAGGCCCTGCCCGCCCTCACCCTGCTGACCGGCGAGTCCTGGGACGTGACGCTGCGGGGCGGCGGCCGGGAGCTGACGGGGACCCTGCGGACCTCCGAGGATCCCCTCACCAAGGCCCTGTGGCTGCTGCTGGCGACGAGGGCCGAACTCACCGAGGTAGGCGAGGCGGTATTCTGAAACGCTGTACATCGCAAGTTAACTTCCTCCTTGATCACACTCGAACAACCGAATAAGCTCTACTTGAAGAACTCTAGGAGCGCTATTCTATCGAAACACTTGCTGTTGCAGTGTTGTGTTCGTTGTGAGATATTATTGCTTTCCCCATCTCAGATAAGATACCTTCCCTGTCGCAAGTGTGTCCAGCTATCACAGTCAACCTTTTAATGGCGTTTCAAATTTAAATATTTTCGTTACCCGGCATCAAATTCATAATTTTAGCTGGTATCTGAACCTCGAGCAACCCACACACAATCCATGCACACATTCACTATACCGTCCGCGTGTACTGATGTGAGACCTGTTGTGTGCCTCCGTGTACTACACCCAGTGTGGTTGTGCAGGACCAAGCTGCCGCCCGGGACCCAGCACCTGCAGCTGCGCCCACACCACCCCGAGTGGAACTGCGGAGCGCGACGCGGTCACCAACTCGTCTCCCCCGGGTGAGCGTTCAAATATCACGCGGAGCTTGTCTGGCGCTGACCGTTCGACCCGGTAGCGACGAGACGGCGACGACGACGGACCGATGCGCCAGTGGTCTTTTAGTCATGCCGCACCGTCGTTCCCATCGTCGCTCCGCTCGAGGCATTCCCGTCGCTCCGTCGTTGCCCGGGCCGCGAGAGGATCGTCGCGGTCTCGTCTCCCTTTGGCGACGAGATGACGAGCCCGGCCTGCTCCGCTCGCAGCCCGAATATGTTTTCATACTGTCGCTCGCGGCCCGTTTAGTTTTTCATACAACACCAGCGAGTGAAAAAGAAAGAGGAGGGGACACAAAAAGCGAACGACTGCCGCCGGCGTTCGAACCCCCGACCGTCGACTCGACGGTCTGACGCTCGAAGCCAATCGGCCACTCACATCTCTGTACTAGACCTGCGTGCGGTTCCACTCGGGACCTCCGGCTGCGCCCACACCTCCTGCAGCCCCCCTTGCCGTTCGGGACCCACCACATGCCGAGGGGCTTCCCCCGTTGGAGATGCATGTGGGTGACATCAGCCGCAGTGAACCAGACGACGACCAGCAGGAGAAGGACGCCGCCCTGCGGGACGCGCCAAGGGTGAGTGTGCGCCGGACCTCAAGCCTCACGGCCCGCACGAGGCTGTGGGGAGCGGCCCGGTACACTGCAGACAGTTCTGCACGTTACCGGCCGCCCCGAGAGTGACTCTGTTCTGCCGCAGGTGACACGGCTGGTCTGGGTGCACTGCCACGCGGACCCCGCCTGGATTCTCCGGCTGCTGCAGCGCGCCGCGCCCACGCTCGAGCAGCTGAGTGTGCGCTGCCCCCTCGAGGCCCACCTGCGCGCCGTGCACGCCATGCCACGGCTGAGGAGGCTGTGGGTTTGTGGTGATGACCCGAACGCCGAGCCCCCCCAGCTGCCCGCGCTGCCGCCGGGACACGCCGGCCTGCAGTGGCTCAGGGTGTGGCGCCTCCCCCGCGCCACGATACGGTTCCTGCTGCGGGCGCACGGCGGCACGCTGGAGGAGCTGCAGCTGCACGTGGGCACGGCGGGGAGAAGACAGTGGCCACACAGCTGCGGCGACCTGCACTCGCTGCTGCAGCAGAGCGGGCTGCGGGCGCTCAGGAGGCTCGTGCTGTGGAGGAGAATGTTCTACAGGCACGAGCCAGCCGCCTGCAGCGAGCAGCGCGCCGAGGTGCGGCGGGTGCTGCCCAGGGTCGAGGTGCTGTGCAACTTGTGTGACGATGTGGAGGAGGAAGAGGTCTAGGGGCGGCGATCAGCGGGCGTGCCCCCGCCACCCTGTGGCAGCGAGATAGAGGACCCCGAGCAGCAGGGCCGGCAGGGCCACGCCACAGGGGCGTGTTCAGGTTCACAGCGCAGACATCACTCCTCGCGACCCACAAGCGCGCTGACGTTAACCTATGGCGGGCGGCCACGGGTGCAGCCCACTCTACGGGTGTGTTTCGTGTCGACTTGTCGACTCGGTAAGCAACACTGCTGCCGAACGGGACGGGCCTCGTGCCTGGCGGACCACACTGCAGTCCACCAGGTAGGTACAGGGAGCGACGCCGCGTGTTCAAATCATTCATCCATGTACAGCGTCATACGATACAGACATCTAATTTTAACACAACTTGTACGGCATCAAGAATAAAATAAGTGAAACCTGCAGTATTATTGTTATAATTATTACCAACTGTTTTATTTGCACGTCGCACCGAGGCGTGACGAAGATAGATGTCGTGCTCTGAGTATGGGAAATTTCTCTGTGTTTGCTGGGCGCAACACCTCGAAGCTCACGAAGCGGGCGGCGGCGAGCGCCGGGCGGGTAGGCCAACCCGCACAGCAGCGCTGTCTAGCGGGACGGCCCACCCGGCGCCTGCCAGCGAGCACCACTCGCGCCGTGACTCCACGTCTCCAGGTTTCTTTTCTTTTCCAGATGTCAGTAATGGTTATAATCGTAAATAGATGTGGTAGTTGATGGTCGTGGTAAATTTATCCTCGTGAGTATTCCTGTTGGGGTGACACTACCATTTGCATACCATTGACATCATACGGCTGCGGCGACCTGCAGTCGCTGATGCAGCAGTGCGGGCTGCGGGCGCTCAGGAGGCTCGTGCTGCGTAGGGTAGGTCCGACCCGCCAGCCAGCCGCTTGCAGGGAGCAGCGCACCGAGGTGCTGTGCGACCAGTGTGACAGTCTACACTGGTGAAACAAAGGTAGGATATCCTACCTTTAAAAGGCACTAAAGCTCCAAAGGCATTACAGTTTATGTTTTTTCGAAATATTTCGTTTCTGTGGACTAAAATTGGATTCTACGGCCTATTTTCGTAATCTACGTAAAATTGCGCGTCGAACGAGCCTACATGTTCTGTTCAAAAATGGCATAAATTGATAAAAAAAATTGTACTTTTTGACTTGCTTTTCATTCACAGACTGCTTATCAGAACCCTATCCCATCGGATGCGGAATTTTGCGAGGAATGCGACAATGTACCCCAAAATGTGATCTGTTTGCTCATTCAGAAAATATTTGGGAAAATATGAAAATACACACTTTAGCACCACAAAAACGGGTTTAGCACCCCTGGAAAGGTAGGATATCGCACCTTTGTTTCACCAGTGAACAGAAGGAAGAGGTCTATGGGCGGCGGGCAGTGGACGT